CGCAGGATACCCTCTAGGTGATAGTTCTTGATTCCTTTTTGATAAATAATTCGTTTTTATTTCGAAATAGGAGCACTATTTGTCAATCTGTAATAGAAGACGTGAGGAAATTCTGTCTTTTTTAAACACAAAAATTTTTGAGGCGAAAGACCCAACAAGAAGTTTGTAAAAAAATCAATCCGCCGTAACAATATAGAACTTATCTATGAGTTCCTTTAGTTATACACCAAAAAATTAAAGTACATTTTGAAGTACATGCAAAAAATACAGAATTAAAGAGGATGTTTATTTTTTAGAAAGAGTGCTTAGATAGATAGATAGATAAAAAAGATATATTAGGCGGTTTTTGTGTTATTCGAGGGACATTTAATATGGAAAAAAGAATTTTGGGAAAGACGTACCAGGGGGGTCTTGTCATCCTGCGGAGGATTTTGTTTTGGAAGGTTTGGAGTTTGCGGATGGTTATTTTTGAGGTTTGAATAATGATGGGGGCAGCGTAGCATATTTGCGACCTGATTACTTGCTTGTAGAGCAGAGTTTTGTTTTTCAGAGTGAGCTTGCTTTCCTGGTTTAAGAGAGGGTAAAGGATGCCGGCTGTTTGGCTTACCCAGGAGTTTCTTTTGAATTAAGTTGAAATATAGCCAGGAAAATATACACAAATATTAATAATGCCAGCCGTGGCGTAAACCGCTGGCAGTCTCGTCAGTAGATGGCCTAGGCCACGCCCCCCTTGCTCTCGACGATGCAAAGACCTGCCAGCAACGGCCAGACCAAGGGCGCATGAATCCGACCAGTCACGTAGTTTTAGATTTTTGCGTTTCAGCCTACTGGAAACGCCGTCCTGCTTCTGCAGGAAGTGTTGGTTTGTCGTTCCGGTTTGCTATGGGACAAAATCATCATAAAATATGGGAAGTTCCATAGGTAGGGCGATCGATGATAGAATTTGCCAGAGATGGTATACATATAGTTGGCTATATAGGCCACTCCTGTAGCTTCGTGTAGTTCGGATATTCTGGTGTATCTGTCAGCCGATAAGACGCCTGGAACCTATTTTCGGTCCTTTGAGCACGCAGTCTCGTGGATTTACTGTCCGATGGCCAGATAGGGGAGTGGTAAGTTAGTATGGGCCTTATAGTATAGGTGTGGAGTAGAAGTTTGTTTTGGGGTTATAGAAATGAATTTGGCGCCAGAAAAAAGTATAACTTCCTTTGTGCCATGAAAGTCTTTTGTATCGCAGTCAAAATGCGTATTGAAATGAAGTCGGGCGTCTAGTTTGAATCCCAAGTCTTTCACTTCTTGTACTGGTTTGATTGGAGTATTTTGGACCATGAGTGGCGATAGGATTTTTTAGTGAATTTGCGCAAAGTGAGAATAAGTTTAGTCTTTCTGGGATTCATTTAAGTTTCCATTTGTCGAAATACTGAGCATATGTAGAAAGACGATGTGTAAATAGCCGTATCATCCGCGTATTGTGCCATTTTTATAGCGGAAAGCTTGGTCTGCTGTATACAATGTATACTGCAATGGAGAAATCACTGTACCTTGTGGTAGGCACTCCTGCCGCGATGCGTCTTTGGCAGAAGTGGAATTCTCCACTTTCACCTGGATAGTACGGTTTTTTAGGAAAGACGCTATAAGGGAAACTAGGTAGAGTGGTAGTGAATGCACGGCAAACAACTTGTACAGTAGACCTGTATGCCAAACTGCGTTGAAGGCCCTTTCCATATCCAGAAGCAGCATTATCGTACTTTGAAGCTTATTAAATGCTGCACAGGCATCCGTTACGATCCTACCAGTCTGGAGTGTTCTAGTGTGTCTTGGTCGAAAGCCAAACTGATCATCCGGGATTAAACTTCGAAGCTCGGCTGCTGCCTGTAGTCTCGATAGGATAACCTTCTAGGTTAATTTGCCAAGGGAGTACAGGAGAGAAATTGGCCCTTAAGAGGCGGGATCAGTCGGTTTTTTGCCTGGCTTTAATAGGGACTATTACCTTGTTTTTCCAGTCTTGTGGGAACTGCTGCAATTTAAGCACTCCGTTGACTGTTTGTACTTTTAGCGCAATAGTTTTCTGCAGAACGTTTCTAAAGAGCAAAAAAGAAAGAGTAAAAAAAATGCGGTCTGGTCTTGGCGCATTTCGGCTAGGAAGACGGGAGGTAATCTCCGATGACTTACGATTTCGTCATCCTGAGGGGCTGGTTGCACTTTGTGTACTTCTGCCAAAAAGTCGACGAGCAGCTTGTACTTTCCACTGGTGGTAATGTAACTCTGCCCCTCTTTTCAAGAAGCTCTACGCCAAGGTGGCAAAAATATGCCAACAAATGTGTCTGCGATGCAGGTTTTTTTGCCTGTAGGTATATCTATTTTATTTTTTTTTCTATTTTCAAAATACCTCTTTTTAACTAATCATTAGTTTATTCATTGAAATGGCACAATTATAAAATATTGTTATATATTCCATCATAAAAGTATTTCAGAAACCATCAATTCGGTTGCAAACATACTTTATCTCTTAGCAAATGAGATAGAAACAGAAGTCTTTGTTAAATTTTTCATTAGGTTTATCGATTCGCTGTTTAAATGAAGAGACTTCAAGAGATGAAAATAAAGCGGATAGTGCAGTATTTTCAAATAGTACAAACAATCCAGTATGAGAAAATAAAACATCATTGTCATCAGTATATCGAAACTGAATAAAGTAAAAGCTCCCAGAATAAGCTTTGTTCTTTATATTGCGTAGAATGGAACGTAAAAGTCATACAACGGCAAGCTTTTCGATAGAAAAGAGCCATTGTAGTGAGCGAGCTCTCTTAGGGATTCAGTGCAAGAAAGAAATGTGGCTGCTATTTTATGAGGAGAATGCTGGCACATTCCGACTCCGACTACTTTGTTCCATTTTAATGGAAAATTATTTTCGAATGGCATCCGTTGTCTTTTGGAAAAAGGGACTTTTTAATTATTTTAAATGATGAATTGCTGTTTGTGTTTTTACTTACGCTGAAAACACCGTGTTCACACTAATATAACAGCCGTCGGCGTTATTTATTTGTGCATTATAAACTAACATCGGTTAGCTGCTGTTTGAATTCCAACGTTAAATTTGTGTGTTTGTGGTCGCTGTGCCCGTAGATACCAACCAATTAATTCATGAAGTTAATAATTTCGAAAGCTTCCCGCACTGTTTGTGGACGATATTTGATATACGGTAGCCTCATTTGGTGGATCTCAAATGGGCATTTCACTGTATTGTAGTGGACATAGAGTATAGTTTGCTCTGCGAACAATAGTATTTGTGTTATCATTGTTTTGGATTATGGCCTATGCTAAGCATTTGCTAAACAATCGATGAATGGACTAAACTATATGGACAGATTCAATGTTTGTTGTCGATTGGCAGACTTTTGTTGCCAGAGTGTATGGTATGTTATATCGGTGAATATTTTATGGCTCTATAGAGTTTGCTTTTTTGTCATTTTAAAATTGCCTTAATAAAAACGACTGTAAATACACGCCGCCCCATCATACTTATTCCGATCTGTTTACTTTTATATCCGGAACTTTGAAAGCGGTAATTATCGGATAATTAATGTTGAAGGGTAACTTTAAGTGGAATGTACTATTGTTACCATTTCGATAATTATTGAAATACATATCTTTATTTTGAAATTTCTTTAGAAAGTCCTTAGATGACCACATTTTATAGTCCTTTTTATGAACGTTAAATTTATATCCCTGCAAGTTTTTTAATTATACACAGTAGTGGTAAGAAGCCAGATAATACTTCACAGATGTGGATTGTTTTCTTTTGCAAATTTGCGAGTAGATTTCTGCAAATTGTTTTGAGAGAAATACGTTTAAAAACGAAAACTCCTAAATTATCTCTCATCTGAAATTTCATATATCCAACCATAGACATAATTCTTATTGACAACTGTATATAATACTTTTCGTCGTGCTGTGCTGCGCAAATTTACATACGCTTGTAAATGAGCTTTCGGCACGCAGTCCTCCAATTAATTAAACAAACTGAAGAGTTTTGGCCCATAAAGTCACCCGAATATCACGCGAAGTTATTTATGTCATTGTTTCACTGAACCCGTACTTTTTTCTTTTGCCTCTAAGGAAAGTTTGCTGTGGCTTTACTGAAAGTGACAAATGGAAAATTCGTGTTTACAACTTTGAACAAAAATGTTATGTACCTTTCCTCATTATACAATAATAAACAGCTTTCCGGAGTTATTCTGATTAATACAAATGAAAAAAGATGAAATAGTTACTTCTGATTAGTTTTCGTGTGAAAACTTGTTCAAATCAGATAGTTTGAAAGTATTCGATTGCCCTTTTAAAATTTATTAATTAAGTGTTCGTACTTTAAAATGTAAACTGTACTTATTTAAATATTAAATTTTTTGTTTCTGTTTTGTATGTGTGTATAAATATCTTGATTAATTTAATAATTCAATAATTCTGTCAAATTTCGTGATGATAAATTCGGTTCGTTCCTCTCAAAAGTCCGTGATTATTAAATTAAATAAACACCTCAATCAAGTCCAGAGTTGGTAAATCGGTTTAAAATAGCAACTAGTAAATTAATTCATAATTTTCATCAATTTCATCATCAAGCATTTTGCATGTATCAAGGTCTACTTTGTAGTTTACGCAGTCTAAACTGTTAAAACATTTTCCTTTATTAATAATAATGTTGGTCTAATCGCAGAGAGTGAATGGTTAACCACCAACGAATATTGACTTGTTCTTTGCGTTGTCCGCTGATTATCGCGTGACTATCAAAGCCCTAAACGTGTTTTTCTTTCTCTTTATCCATTTAATAATTGGCAAGTTATTCCAGCTTATTTTTCGAAAATTTGTCATTGTCGTAAATTAGATTTTATGATTTCTAGAATCTTAGGATTTCACATGTTTTATTTTACATGGTAAGTACCACACATAATCCTAGACAATATTCATAAACAGTCCAATAATCGAAACCCCATAAGTTTTTGTAAGTTTTTATTATCTGTGGAGACACGGAAATAATTTAGTATTCCATTAGATTAGATAAACCAACATCGGTCAACAATATATTCATGTTTTGCAATCTAGCTTAGATTACGTTTGCTTTATTTGTCTTGTGGGTAATTAATCTAACTAGAATGATTCTCTTCTTAGATTCTCTTAAGCCTGTTCGCCCGAATTCAGGAGTGTAATTTTGCACCAATAAAACTAAAATATAAGGATTTATTTGTAAAGTGACGATAAGCAGGGAAATGTAGGAATATATATTTTCCAATTCGGTCTTGGCTAACAGACAATCAATACAAAACGCCGTTGTCAAATTTAAAAAGCCATTGCATTTAAAATCACAAAAGTCGAAAGCAGCAAAATCCATTACCAATATCTGCATTATTTTGTCAAGCTTCTTCAGCGCTTCAACTTAGATAATGAAGGTTCGAATAGACGATATCACAATGGAACTGGCGAGACGCTTGACAAAGCCGTATTGCTTCTGACAGTTTTAAAAAGAATGCGACCACTGATAGCACTCTCCTCGCTATTTTTGATTGAATATTTGTTTTCTTTTTGTATGATATTGGAAAATTATTGAAATGATGGGAAAATGATTACAAAAATTTGCTAGTTACTAACTTATTTGCTTTATTTTTCAATGTTCTAGATTTGGCTTACAGCTTTTAGGCATTGCTTTTTCGACGTTGTTTTGAAGTTGATTGCTCAAAACATTGAACACAATGAAGAATTACGCCGCTTCCATTTGATGTCAATTGCATACCGCAGCTGCGACATTGGCTTGTTGGTGATGGATTTACGTTTGTAGTGTAGATAGCTTTATCAGGAGGAGGCATAGAAGGGAGGTCTGGAAATGGAATACAGTTTGGAGGTACTTTCGATTCGGAAGGTTGAGGACAAAACTGTCGCCCAGTCGGTTTCAAAACGCAAGTGGATCCGGTGGCTGTATCATTCACAACTGTATTCGTCCCATTAGTAGTGGTTTTACAGCTACAGTTTTTCTCTGTAGGTTCATTCGATGATATCGTGTACTGAATTGAAGTAATCAGAAATATTGTAAAAATTGTGGAAAGTCGGATCATTTTGAACTGAAATTTTGCATACTTTGAAGTTGACGAGATTAATACTTTATTAGCCTAAACTTGTCAGTTTAGATACAGTAAAGCTCAGAAATAACCAAATGGTCTAAATTCAGTTTTGCCACCAAAAGTATAGACTAATTAAATTTAATTTTCGAAAATCTTATGTTCCAAGTTAAAATATTAGTGCATGGTGTTCAAAATGAATTTCTATATATTTATTTGGGGAGGTTATACAAGAAAATTAAATAATAAAGTATCCTAAGCACACATATTCCTAAAATTTAGTCTTGAATATAAAAACAGCTCGTTACGTTATAAAAACGTTCTCCCGCAGTATGTATGAATCACCTCTTTTTATGCTGGAATATTTTCGATTAGTCAAATTACTTACCAAATTGCAAATATTGCTATATTAAAGTACAGTGCGCAGTAGAATAGCCCGATTATTTTGTTTGTGCAGTTTTGGAGAAATACACGATGCATATAAAAATGTAGTTCATTTTGTTCAAATAATCCTTGTAAAAACTTATTTTAATTTATATTTAAAAAGTATATTTGAGTAGAAAAATGTTATTGCATTTTGGTATAATTAAATCACAACGAGATGGTTGACGAAAGTTCCTTATTCGATAAATACTAGCGCGGAGTCATTTCAAGATGGATTAAAAAGAAAGAATATGGCAATATTTTAAAATGCAAATAAATTGGCAGACCTCTATTCACATGCAATCTGCAATATGAAGACAATACATCGCAAGTAATTGTCCAAAGCCCTAAATACCAATTAGTCGACATTAATTGCTGTTCGAAGTACTCTTCATTGTTGCATAAGATGCAATTTCAGCAGTATAAACTTGACACAAGCAGGGCTGCAGAAGCAGTTAGTTCAAAGCTTCATAAAAAATCATTGCAAGGGCATAAACTCATTGTTTTGTGCATATTTTCATTATCCAGGATTATATGTCTTAATTTCGAAGAAAATGGTGCAACGGTGACCGTTATTTCCGAACAATATTCAGATATTCTATCGTCTTTGATGCTCGACAAGATGCAGATTCCAATTCTTCCAAACCCACTAGGAACAGTAATAATATAGGGAATCTGGAAATTAGTAAGTATACTTTAACTCAGGGGCTTGCGGTCCATGGAAGCAATAGAAGCATTGCTTCCTCTAGAATTCCCTAGTAGAAGTCGACCAACCAAAAGTTTAGAAAAATAGTCTTATTATTTTATTCATTATGTAATAAACCGCAACATTCTTACTAAAGGGATCGAACCTCCATAGCAAATTAGGCAGGGCAATACTGCACAATTTTTTAGGGTAGTAAGCAGTAGACGAAGTTAAATACAAGAAGAAAGAGACATTGTATAGTATGATCCGCTCTTCAAACTCACGAGCATCAAAAAAAGACATTATAATAAGGTTATGTCTTTGTCATACCGGTCATAAGCATACAATATTTCCGACGGTTTCTCGGCCTCCATATAAAATATTCGGGGGCAAATGAAAAAATACAAAGGTTTTGCGAGCCCATAAGCAGTTGTGTGGATTAAATACGCACTGTGCGCATTCACCTTATGTTTGATTTTGCAGTTTAAGGGAATCCGGAGATCTTTTTTTTAGCAGTATCTTCATCGATTGATTTTTCTAAAAGTGATATATAATAATATATTACATAATAAAAGTCGTAAGGAGCACTCTAAGTTCGAATGGAAAAGGTGCGTAATTCCATGAGTACGTATATAAGTGCGTCACGACCGCACTTATTAAAACTAAAAGACAATTATGTTATATTTTTGTGTTATTTGTAATATACTAGTTCTGACAAAGATGAAATGTTGACAGCAGCCCAGAACTACAAAATTGTATTCAAATTTAAAGACACCTTCGTATGAATTAAAAAATTGAAACGTTATACCTTTATAGACAAATATTGTCTATCCGGTGCATTTTCCAGAACAGTTTTAATATACTTAACAGACAAAATATTGGACTTTTTTAAACGTTGTACAAACATTTGGACTGGCTTTTAATACCATCATACTTTCTTTTCAACAAGGCTCTAGTAATTTGGTTGTAATTGGTTGTAATTAAGTTGTAGTGTTTATATTGTGGTGAATATTGTTGTTCGTAAGGGCGAATAACAGGACCAAATCGAAGAAAATTTTCCATTTTACTGATAATTTTTCGAAGTAAGTTAAGAATACAATCTTCAAAAGAGAAAAAAATGAGTAACTTCTTATTTTTGAGGAATTTTTCTTGGTAGTAAATAGTTCGTAGTGGCCTTCTGCTATTTGTATAATATTTGGGGGTGTTAAAGTTTCGCCTAACATTTTATAAAGAGGCATTTAGTAACAATTGAGGTTCAATTTACTAATTTAACAATATATATTAGACGAATAACAATATGCCGGTTTGACCTAAATTAATCGTGACAGAACGTTGCGTTTGATTTACAATGGGTAAAATGTAACTAACTTGGTTTGTAGGGAGTTTTATACTACTTTCAGTAGTGGTGGTAGGTAAAGTGTATTTAAAAATCCCTTCTTTAAAATTTCACCGCACGCTCTTGCTTTAACTGCATATTTTATTTCCAAAAATTTGATATTCAATATACAAAAAGCTAAAGTTTGTAATTCAATAAAATTAGAGGATAATTACATCAAAGCGGTTGTCCATTGTCCAACGACTTTTGCCTTTTCTCCAGTATATGTATTATGTAATGATCTTTATAAATTGACCGTATTAATCATACAATTAAATACTAATACAAGAACCCCCATTAAAGAGCCCATATTTCTAATACGGGTCTAAGAGACTTCGACATAGTATACCATTTTTGACTAACAATATCGGGGACAAATGAAATTATATTCATTATACAAAGCAGAATAAACGTGGAACAAAAGAGCGAATTGGATAAAAGTATACGGTAATAGGTGACGAGCTGTGCAAGCAACTCGAAAAGGAACGACACATTTGAATTGCCCTACTAGAAAACGTATGTTTCATTTTATCTGGTAACCCATAATAAATTTAATGAAAAGGTTAGCAAAGGGTCTATTTGAGTTAAGTCTCAATTGTGGAATTTGATTTTTTCAATTTAATTAATTATTATGATTGCTTTCGGAACACGCACGGTGACGCAGAGTGACCGACCTAACAATAAACCTTCGTTCACTACAGAAGTTAGAAACATCACAAGGGAAAAGAAGAAAATATATTGGCAATACAGAAAATCACCAATACCAGAAAACCGAAATAGGTATAGGTATAGAAATAAGAAACACGGTTAACAACAAGGTTCGAGAAATTAAAGAAGAATACTAGCAGAGGTTCAGTAATGACGGACATGTACGACGCACAAAAACGTATCTCGAAATTATTGAGGGGCATTAAACGGGAAACAATCGAAACAATACAACTAAAAACAATTACGGAAGGAAAGTGACAAACATATTTTAGAMATTTATACGCAGACATGGAAAGSCCGGAGGAAGCACAAGAAACCACAAAAAACGATCTTCTAGAAGGACACAAGCACGCAATCACGGAAGAGATAACAGTGAGGAMACTTAAAGACAGAAAAATTCGAACGAATCAAGATGAAATCCTAAACTAGCTAATAAAATACGGAGGAACTGCCATCATAGAAGATACACAAAACTSTTTACTATCATATKTAAATATAGAAAGATTCCAGTAGAATGGGAAAACAACATTTAGTTTAAGTAAACAGTAGTTTAAGTTAAGTAAATAGTACCTCTCTTTAAGAAAGGTGCCAAAACCGATCCAGCAAACTACCGAGGCATAACACTGCAAAGTAGCTCGCTAAAAGTTCTAACCAAGATCACTGCCGAAAAATTAACCTCAATAACGCCAATAAGCGAAAAACAGAATGGATTTAGGAAAAATCGATACACGACCGATACATTGTTCATACTCAGACAATAGTGGAAAAATCSATAGAGTACAGCACCCCTTTGCTTTTGTRGATCTAACCAAGGCTTTCGACAGAGTGCAGCTAAAAGACGTTATCACAATCTTGGAAWATAGTAATAGGCCGAAAGAACATATGTACAACTTATTAAGTATCTAACAATCTAGTAACACACAAACGCAAATACTAGCAAACTCGACACTAACCCAGCACCTCCGAAGAACAGCAGGTATTCGCCAAGRTTCGWTCCAAGATTCCAAGAATTCGCCGACATGGACGAATTAGTAAAAGCCGCAWTGAACACTGGATTATGATATCGAATGGGAATGTAGACAACAAACATATTATGCTATGCCGACAAMGCRGTACTTATCGCGCATCAGAAGATGACCTCCAAAAAATATTACGAGCTGTTCAGAAAGAGGCAGAAAAACTTAACATGCAAATCTCCATAAACAAGACCAAATGACCATAGCAAAGGAACCCGAGCGGTGCAAACTASCAATAGAAAATAACATTATACATCAAATCATGTCATCCGAATACCTCAGATGCAAAATCACAAGCGTCSGGTTTCTGRAACGTGCAGTGAGGAAACAACTTAATAAAGCTACCGCAATATCAGMGCATCTTAGATATCTAATCTGGAAAAAYAAACACGTAAGMATAGATTGCAAATCGAAAATATRCAAAGTATGTGTACGGCCGRTGRTGCGGACATATGGTGSGCAAAAAACAAGAGCTGAARCTTCAGTAACAAAGAGGATCTTACGAACAACTGAAATGAAGACCCTAAGAGCAATRAYAGGACACRTACTCAACASTAGGCAAAGAAACAAATAAAGAAGAGAAAGATKCCAAACCGACSACGTAKTCAGRTGAACAAGGAAAAGGAGAAGRGAATGGAGCCATCATGTCAACCGAATGAGTCCCGACWGAATATCCAAGATAGTACCMAATAACACACCACATGGAAYAAGAYCYSTAGGAGGACCACCAACACGTTGGCAATTAACCTCACAAGAACTGCTTCAAAAAAACCGGAACCAAACAGGCGATGCGACTATATAAAGAGGAACAAGAA